CTGTTGTGTAGGAGGTTCGGGTCGAAAAATGAGCTACTCGCAAGGATACCAAATACGTCCGTTTATTATGAATTCCAGATTGCTTCTGGTCGGAGCGCCGAAACGGGGGGGAAGATCGGAGCACCGGCTCCGATTCGCGATTCTCGCACGCGCCTCATCGATACCTGTCGCGCCCGCTCGCGACTACGCCAAGCACTTTGTTGTGGCCCTCGCGACCGCGCGCGATACGTGGCATTTTAGGGAACGCACACATAACACTCTTTCCCTCCCCGAAAGAGAAAACGACTGCCTATCGACGACCAACTCCGGGATCCACGTATCTTTCTGGCTGTCTCTTACTTCGGACGGGTCGGTCTCTTCGCTGTCCCGGGTCCGGGGCTCTTGCCTCCCTCGCCTGAGTCGGTTGCAAGGCTTCCGGTCCTTGCTCTTCTTCTTGGTCGCGTTGAGCGCAATTTGGTTCCGCTGCATCCCCTGGTGCAGCTGGCTCTTCCTTCGCCTCTGGTTCGTAATCGTAAACTCCCGTGTATGGTTCTATGTGTCGGCTTCTTTGCTCTCCCCTCTTGCGGATCTGGTCGACGTGACGCTCCCAGGTCCTGCCATCTTCCAATTTAATCTTATAATGTAATTTACCTAACCGTTGTATAATTTTTCCAAATTTCCATTTAATTTTACTATTATAGTTACGGCATATCACACTCTCTCCCACCGTAAATTCACGCGATCTTTTATTAATGTTAATGTTAGCGCTTTTCTTGGGAGGCTCAGGTATACACAAAGTAAATTCTGTACGCATTTTTCGCTTAAACATTCTCTCAAACGGAGTCACTCCCGTAACACAATGTGGAGTGGTTCTGTATTGTACTAAGAAGTTACGTAGTGCGTTTTCTAAGGTTGTTCCCTTACTATTGGGATCCGTAAGTATTTTTTTTAAGGAGTTTTTCAACGTTTGTACAAATCTCTCCGCTTGCCCATTTGTTGCTGGGTGGTACGGAGTTGTAAACTTCGGGGTGATCCCCTGAGATTCTAAGAATTGTGTAAAATCTGCAGAACGAAAATTACGGCCATTATCCATGACCATAGTTTTTGGAATACCGTAATCCGTGAAAATCTCCTTACATATTTTAATAGTCGTTTCCGCGGTTATGTTTTTGACTATTCGCACAAAAGGCCATTTCGAAAATGCGTCTACAAATACAAAAAAATACATGTTCATGTACGGCCCTGCATAATCCACGTGGACACGCTCGAAAGGTGCCTCGGCCGGTTCCCACTCGTGTATTTCCGCCTTCGGTGGGTTATTACGCACGGTATTACATATATCGCAATTCTTAGCTAAATTTTCTATCGCTTTGTCTATACCAGGCCACCAGTACAAACTCCTAGCTAACGCTTTCATTTTAACTACCCCGAAATGATTTTTATGTAATTCCCGAAGGATTCGGTCGCGCAGTTGACTAGGAATTACTATCTTTCTATTGCACAAAAGCACGCCCTGTTGTACACTATATGCTGCTTGATTTATATTGAAACGCATTTGTACGGGTATCTCTTTCTTTTCGCGTATGGCCGTTAGGAGACTCTTCAATTGCACATCTTTTTCTGTAGCACAAGCAATTTTATCCGCGGATACGGGCATTTCGTGTAACATTCCTATCTCGTAAATATCTACTACATCACGTTCCGCAGTTGTAGTTGTGCTCATTGGTAAACGTGATAGACAATCCGCATTTGCATTCTGTTTAGAGCTTTTGTATTTAATTTCAAATGAGAACCCTTGTAAGAATATTGCGTAATGTTGCATTCGCATAGCCGAGTACGCGGGTAAGGCTTTTGACGGCGCGAAAATCTGTACTAACGGTTTATGATCCGTGTATAATGTAAACTTGTTACCGTAAAGGTACTGATGGAACTTCTTTACTCCAAAAATTATAGCGTAAGCTTCTTTATCGATTTGAGCGTAACGTTGTTGAGTTTTAGAAAGGGACTGCGAGGCGTATTGCAGTACGCGTTCGGTGCCATCGGGGTAACGGTGTGATAGCACCGCCCCTACTCCGTACGGACTAGCATCTGTAGCTAAGATTAACGGTAGCTTCGGATCAAAGTGAGCTAAAACTGTGTCACTTTTGAAACTCCTTTTTGCGCGCTCAAAAGCCTCCTCACATTTGTGAGTCCATTTGAAATTAACTCCCTTTTGTAGCAACTCATGTAATGGCGTGAGCATCGTACTTAGGTTCCTAATGAACCGCCCGTAGTAATTTACCATTCCTAAAAATGATCGCAATTCTGTAACGTCCTTCGGCCTAGGCATGAGATCAATGGCCTGCATTTTATCGGTAGTTTTATGTATTCCCGATCGATCAATTCGATATCCGCAATAATGTATGCTATCCTGTAGGAACTCGCTTTTGCTCTCGTTTATCCTAATATTCGCGTCACCCAGGCGTTGCAATACTTGTTTCAGGCGTTGTAAATGAATTTCCTTGGTAGGTCCCGTGACTCGAATGTCATCTAGAAATACCGTTATCCCCTCGATACCCTGCAACAAGTTTTCCATTTCACGTTGCCAAATGGCCGGCGCTGATGCGCTTCCGTACATTAAACGTGTGCTTCGAAAAAGGCCTCGATGCGTATTGAGGGTGAGTAATTCCCGATCCTCTTCCCGAACTTCTAATTGCAAATACGCTTGTTGCAGGTCTATTTTGGAGAACTTCTCTCCGCCTGCCATATTCGCGAATAGTGTATCCGTTGTAGGCAACGGATGCTCGTCTATTAGTAAACAGGGATTGATCGTGACGCTAAAGTCCCCGCATATGCGTACCGTATTGTCTTTTTTTAACACAGGCACAATGGGAGTAGCCCATCTCGATGTGTTTACTTTCTCAAGGACGCCTTTCGAAACAAGCGCTTGTAATTCCTGGTCGACCAAAGGTAACAATTTGAAAGGAACGGTACGGGCTTTGAGAAACACCGGTTTAGCGTTTTCTTTCAGAGTGAGCTTTGCTTGTAAGCCTCTAATTTTTGTCGAATGAGGATCTAATTTATTCCGATATTGTTGTAATAACTCCGTCATTTTGTATTCCGTATCGCTACGTGACGTATTTATTGTATTAACGGTATCCGTTAGACGTATGTGCAATTGCCGAATCCACTCACGGCCTAACAATGGTTCGCGCTCGACATTCGAAACGTACAAATTTAATTTGATTTTAGTTCCTCGCCCGCTAACCATCACGGGTACCACGCCCGCAATCTTAATCGGCGTTTTGCAAAATGTAATTAATTGTAACGTAGTCGGTTGTAACCGTTTTAATAAAGACAGCTCCCGTAATGTATGCGTACTCACGATGGTTACTGCAGCTCCGCTATCTACTTCGAATCGCAGGGGTTTGCCCTCGACGGTGATTGTCTCGAAAAACTTTTCTCGGAACTCCGAGTGCTCTACGACTAATATTTCCTCTACTTGATTGGCCGGTGCGCGTTTCGCCGCCATACACACTTTGCGCAGGTGGCCTGGTGTCCCGCAATTAAGACATTTAACGCTTCTATCTAGAGTACATTTTGTAGCTAAATGGCTACCGCCACATCTGAAACAAGAAACATTAGAATTTGCGTTTGTATTCGCGTTAGGTTTACCGCCATTAACTGATTCGCCCTTTCCTTTTAAGAATTTCGCGGGAGGTTTCCGCTTCCGCTGCGTTTTCTTCTCCGTCTTCTTATCCTTGGAGCCAATGTATTCGACGCTCGTCGATCCATTTTGTAATTGCAGCGTGTCCTTCTCCGATAGCTCCATCGAGGTAGCCACTTGGATCGCCTTCTCGAACGTTAAGTCTTTCATTTCCAGTAATCTTGATTGTGCCCGGCTGCTCGCCAAACCAAAAACGAACTGATTTCGTAAAGCCGTTTTCAGATACGCCCCGAAATTGCAGCGCGCGCTTAATTTATGTAGCGCGGCCACGTAGTCTTTAACACTTTCGCCGTCCTTTTGTTTCCGTTGGTGGAAACGAAAATTTTCGGCGATCTCTAGAGGCTCAGGCGCGTAGAATTCCGCTAAGCTCGTCACTAATGTCTCGAAGGTCGCAGTGTACGGGTCCGCCGGCGCCAATTTATCACAGATGACATCGAAAGCCGACGTCCCAATGAAATGTAGCAAGTATAGAACTTGTTGCTCCGTAGGCACTTTAAAAATTTTTACTGCGGCTTGAAAACGCTGAAGCCATCTCGCCCACTCCGTCGTGGTCGGGTCGAAAATTTCAATACTGAAATTGCCATGTAATACAACGGCCGCCATGGTTCAAGGTGACCTTCGTAACCAGCGACAGTGGCCCGACTTCTCGAACTTCGTAGAATGTAACGGACAAGGTATCCTGGGCGATCCGAGTTTCCCGTAGGGTGAAATTCCGTACCCGAGGTACCGGCTTGGTAGCGAACGATCTCCCCCGTATCAAATTGCTCGAGAGATGATGTAGTTTGTATCCCGGTAGACCGGCTCCTTTTTGGACGCTCTCGAAACACCGTACTGGACGCCACGTGTACGCGTAATGGCGCTTCCTGCTCGTACTCACACGTGCTTCAGGTCTTGCCGTGCTTTAGCGCGATCCCTTTTCGTGCTAACACAGACTTCTCACAGTTGCGGGGGAGAATCCCATCCTCGTCGCCATTTCTCTGTTGTGTAGGAGGTTCGGGTCGAAAAATGAGCTACTCGCAAGGAT